TCAGGAAATGTGCACAAAGCTCCCATTCTGACCATTCAAACACTGCCCGAGTCTCCATTTAACCATTCACTGCCTGCTGATTGAAAGGCTCTGTTCTCCTTTACTCCACTCAAAAGACCCCATTCTCACAAAGTTCATGAAAGACCTGATTCTTTGGAGACCTCTCAAAGAAACACACTGTTTCTTGACAGAATGTGGCGATTTAGATTCAATTTCAAAAAGCCCTGAAACAAGTTAATAAACACTACTTTGTGTCCTTCGGTCACATCGTTATCGAGTAAAAGGAGTTCAGTGGTGCTCAGAGGTTCACTAATGTTTTTATTGTCTGAGAATGGGAATAAAAGCTTGTGTCTGTGTGCGTGTGTGGGGGTGTTGCAGGTCTTTGCAGGGCATGGCGATTAACATGCGTGTTTACTTTGTGACCAAGAGCGTGCATGAGGTTATCAGTGTCATAAACACACAGAGATAAAAGTTGGAGCCTTTCAGCTAAAACAAAAAGAGCAGTTTGGTGGATGAACTCAGTCAATTTAGAGCAGGGTTACTCAACTGGTGGCCCACGGGCCATATCTGGCCCCTGGGTGACTTCAATATGGCCCACTTCATAAAAAAAAAATATATATATATATATATATATATATTGGGGGGTGGTTCTGGGTTTGGGTTTTGTTTATAACATTTATGATTCAATGCAATAAAATGAACAAATTGAAAAGGTAACAGATTATTGTAAACGTTAGTTTATTTACATAATGACTTTAATCACTGGATGTCCGGCCCCTGAGCATTCTCATTGCCCTGGTGTGGCAGCAGAAAACGACGGCTGTAAAGATAGCGAGCACTGAATTTATAAATCCACAGTTACTTATCCGCAGTGAGCCAGAGGACTGAAACCACATCAGAATGTAATCCGACGTGTTTTGGATTGAAATACTCTGTAGAATAAAGTAAAAACACCAGAATCTTATTTTACATACAGGTAGTCATAAACCACATGGGAAACAGAACTGAAAAATAAAAATAATAATAATGGTGACTAAGTACTGAACTAATTAATTTATTCCTCTGTTTTCTGACATGTGTCTCTAGTCAAACCTATCTCATTAAAATCAAAATCTACAGGAGGGGGAAGCAAAAATGGACAGAATCCCCCGATGCCTAACAGCGTATGAATCTGCGTAGTAATAAAAACAAATACAGCAGCAGCCGAGGCTCAGGGGATGGAGCAAATAATCAGTCAGCAAAATGGTTGTTTAAAGTCCAACTTGATGGACAAGATACTGAACCACATGTTTGTGAGTATACAGTAGTAAGTAAAATGCATAAATAGGATGTTCAGTATTATAAAAGACAAGACAAGACAAGATAAGATGAGATAAGATAAGATAAGATAAGATAGAACTTCACCAATCCCGCAGAAAATTGTTGTGCCAGAGTTTCAGTATAAAGGAACATACACAAGGAATCACACAAGATATAAAAAGTAACAAAGAATATAAAAACACCAGCAATTAAGCTCTAAAACAGGTGCAGACAGAAACATTAAAATGTTTATTGTGGTGTAGGATTCATTTTATTGTCCTATGTACAGAAAGGGGGAGGAGTTGAAAAGTTTGAAGGACTTCCTGTGTTGCTCTGTGGAGCACCTCGGTGGTCTCAGTCTACGACTGAAGGTGCTGTGGTAAGAGCCCAGTGTGTCATGCAGGGGGTGTGACGTGTTGTTCAGGATCTGGAGCAGTTTCCTCAGCATCCTCTGTCAGAGACTGCAGGTCCACTCCCAGATCTGAGCCAGCTCTCTTGACGAGTTTATCGAGTCTGTTGACATCAGCTTTCTTCACCCTGCTGCACACCACAGCGTAGAAGATGCTGGAGACCACCGAGTGGTAAAACATCTGCAGCATGATCCTACTGACCAGAGGAGATTGTAATGTACTGCGGCGCAGGACTAAATTTAGCCAAATGGTGGTGTCCATCAAAGGCACGCAGTCGTGGAACACACTGCCAGTTTCCATCAGGAACTGCGGCACCTACTCCAGCTTTAAAAACCTTGTACCTGGAGTCCGAGGTGTAGAGCGTGAACAGAAACGGTGAGAGGACCGTGCCCTGAGGAGCCCCTGTGCTGCTCAGTATGGTGCCCGAGGTGGTATTCTGCAGCCTCACATACTGTGGTCGACCTGTGAGGTAGTCTCTGATCCAGGTAACATGCAGATTAGGCACGAATTCAAAACGATTTTTAAAGTACAGCCAATGTTAAAACTGATATGTTATTAGACTCAGTGGTCTTTGAAGAAATGCAAATTGTTGAATGCTTTGTCTTTCAGAAACTAACATTATTTTATGATTAGAGAGAATTGAGCCATTTTGTTCAGTCTCATGCAATGTTGTGAGCTCCTGTGACATCTGTTAGAGCTCATAGTGTGTGTTGAGGATGACTCAGCTACTGCCACATCAAACTTTTAGCACAAAAACTAAAACTGATCGACTTACAGCCATTTTTGTGTTGGCTAAGTTTGATTAGCTGTGGCTGCCATCTTGAGTTGGGTTGACTCCAAGGTTAATCAATTGTAAATGTGCAGCCACTGATAACTTTCTGAGGGTTTATTTACAAACTCTCCAATGAATCATGAGATATTTTATTAACAGACAGACATACCCCCCCCCCCCCCACACACACACACACACACATGCACACACACATGCACTTACAAACAAAAGGACAAAAACAATATTGCCACTGTCCTTTGGCATCAAGCAGTGGTGGAGAAAGTACTCAAGCACTGTACTTGAGTAAAAATACAAATAAACAGACAAAAATGCACTCTAGTAAAAAACACAGTAACATTTTTCCTTAAGTAAAAGTAAATACTTGCTTTTAAAAAAGTATTAAAAGTGCTTGCTGAATGCATTACCTAATGGTCTATCATTAAGTGTGCCTCCCATACGTATATTTTCTGTACTACATTAATAGTGTTGAGTCATTTTAATGAACAATGCTGCAGATAATACATGTTTTTATTGTGTTTACTCTGTGACACAGTTCACACTTAGACGTGTGATTCTGTGCATCAGAATTTCAGGGATGACCTGCAGAGTTAAATGCCATTAATCAAAATAAAGAGGAATGATTATAACTTTGAAAGTTTTTATTTAACACAAAACCAAACCAATGTGTCATTTTAACTGCAGTAAACACATTTAAGTAAAAGTTGTCTGACAGAAAAAAGGAGCATTAGACCTAACAAAGGAATATCTGATAATTTAAACTCCAGTTTGTCATCAACTAGTTAAAATACTGTTCATTCAACCTTGTAATGGATCAATATTGAACAATATTTTAACTTCCTGACACCATTTTCAAAACTTGGACCCGAGTGTCGAGCCATTTGGAGACATCTCTTGTCTCCTAACGCCACGAACTGACACATTTTAATATTGCAGCAAAAATTTCTTGTTCAAGTTCAGAAGAAGTTGGTTTTCAAAGTTTTTTGAGTCCAGTCTGGCTCTTTTGGGAGAGAAAATCTGTCCTGTTGTACTGAACAGTCTTTCAATAATCTTTCAATAGTTTTTCAATAAGGCCATGGATGGTGCGTATCTTCTGGCTGACTCTCTGCGGTGGAATCCAGTGTGGGTGTGTTATCGTGTGGGTGTGCCCAGCTCAATGATGTATATACTACATGTATATGTATATGTCTATGTATATACATCATTGGCCCAGCTCTTCTTCAGAGAGTCAGAGTTTCTTTATTTGTCATTCGCATCACATGTGGTACATGTAGTGGAATGGAATTATGTACACAGGGTCCCAGTTACATCCAACAATGGCAAAAATATAAAATGTAAAAATAGAGTAAATAAAGATCTGAGATATAAACTAAGATATATGCTAAACAAACGCCCAACAGTACGTTAAAAGATCTAAGAAATATGCCAGTCACTAATAGTGCAAAACAATACACCGAACAACAGCAGCACAGTTCTCATAGATTCTGTTCTTGAAGGTGGGTCTAACGTTACCTGCACACTTTGCAGTGATTCAATGGACCAACTCCCCTCTCACCATTGGTTACTTTCAAAGTAACAAACAAATAAAAAATCGCAATGTGAGTGTAACTTGTAACGCAATGCATTATAGAAATGCAGTGTAGTAGAATGTACAGATACTTCATGTAAAATGGAGTGGAGTAAAAGTCGAAAGTACCCACATTTAACTCTACTTAAATAAAGTACAAATACGTGAAAAATGTAGTTAAGTACAGTAACAAAGTACTTGTACTTAGTTAAATCCCACCACTGGCGTCAGGTAATAACTACCACTAAAGAGCCTGTAACAAAACACTGTTCAATAACTTTCAATCTGAATTATTTGAGCAAGCAGAAGAAAATCCTACAGTTTTAGAAATTATTCAGCATATGAGAACATACATCCTCTTCCCAGATCTCTGTATAGCCTCAGCCTACAAAAACAGCAACTCATGAATCAGTGATGTGCCTGCTGAATTCTGCTCACGGATAATGACTTCACCAGAGCTGAAGGGAAAAAACAACAACTTTCACCCGACACCATTCAGCCGAGGCAAACAAGGCTGACAAGATGCACGAGCTGCAGCTCAAGTCAGTGCACGTCGAAACATACAGAGAATCTCATAAAATCCATAAGACCACAGCAAAAGCATAAAACAGATGCATCCATCCTGAAAAAAATGTCTGAGGTCACACTTTGTGTTAAATGAGAAAAACAAAGATTTTGTTTTTTCAAATGTGCAAAGATTTAGGATAAACATGCCATCAGTAGATTATAACGAGAGCTAAAAACATAGAGCCAGACAAAACAAAATGCATAAAATACACATCATTAACTCACATGTTTTAAATGTTACCATTGGTATCCCTTTATCCAAATCAGATGCACCATTCTTGGTTTCCTTCACCATTCTTTTCCTGCTGTACATGAGCTCTTATTTAAATTAGAGACAAAATCCAGTCTCAAAGTGAAAACAACCTACTGGCACAACAACAACCCAGCATGTCTTCTCCATCCAGCAGCATCTGTCCCTTTGCACCAGCTCGTCCCCCCCGGTCATGTGCCGCATGCTGCAACTACCGCATTAGCTGAGGAGTCCTCTGCTGCTACAGGAAAATGTCAGTGCAGCTGCAGAGAGCTGCCAGTTGCACACTGAAGAGGCTGTTTAAGCTTTACAGTCACGCACACACACACACACACACACACACACACACGCACGCACGCACACACACACACACACACACACACACACACACACACACACACACACACACACACACACACACACACACAGTCCAAGAGGAAGCAAAAGGAATCCCACAGAAAACACTTTGTGGGGGTCTGGGAATGATGCCCTGCAGAACTCTGGCCAAAAGATTAATACAGAATATAAAAAGCACCAATCCACACATGCACAGGAAGTTGAAGTTCATGAATGAGCTGCAGATTTCCAGAAAAGTTCAGAAATTGAAAGGACAAAACAGCAACTCGAGCACAAACAAGCTGGACTCGTTCAAGTCTTACCGTCCCACTCTCTCCAGGAGTTTCTGTGACTTGCAGGACTGAAGGGAAAAGAGGAGCCCAGTCCAGAGATGTCCAAGTTCTGAATCAGATGACTGAGGCGGTTCATGATCTGGTAGGATGCCTCCCCACCCTCCCGCAGAAACTCGTGAAGGGACATGAAAGCCGGCTGCTGGTCTCAGTCTCAAACTGTCATCCAGGGAGACCTCCTGCACAACCCAACAGACTCCAAAGTACAGCTTCCAAACGCAGACATGAGAAAGAATCCTTTCTGTGCAAAGTCTCTCGGGATCACAAGCTCTCACGCACGTCCAGTGAAGCTACCTCTGCTCAGATACGTGCAAAACAAGACCAGCGTCCTCTGCAGTGCCACATTGGGGACTCGAAGAATCAGGACTGAGCCGAGTCACTGTCTGCACAACCTCTGACACAGAAATAGTGAGCCTTGCTCTGCCGATGCACACGTACGAGCACACATGCACCACTGCAGGTGTAACTATTAACACTTCAGAGCAGCAAAGGTTTCAAAGTAAGAGGACACAGAGGGAGGGTGGAGTGGGACAGAAGCTGAGGGCAGCCGGTGGAACACAAATCCCCTTCTGCTTCTCAGGCTAATTATGTTCCTCCACTCCTTAACTAATCTGCCTTTTCTTTCACTCGTTGAATCTTTGATTCTTTCAGGCCTTTCGTTTCTGCTGAACCAGGAGATGATGCCAAAAAAAAAAAAAGGACTGAGGCTGAAAACAGTAATCTGTAAAATAAGAAACTAAAACCAAACTTTGGCCCTTAAAAATTATGGCACACATGGAGAGTTCATTTGTTGTCAGCCGGCTGAAGGAGACTTCTTTGATGGAGGAGGTGGTTTGTCTGGGAGACTTTTGACTTATTTTGTGTGTTTTGTGTGCGTTTGGCTGTGATGTGCAGTGAAATGTGTCAAGGAAAAGGCAGCTAACTGTTTGTGAGTTTGTATTAGAGATGAGAGAGCAGCTTCACTGTGACATCCTGATGAGGCGACTGCAGGGGCCCAAACATTTGCTCCTTCTTCTGGACTTTTCTACCTCTCATGTTGTCCCTGATTAGTTTTTCAACACAATGACTTCATACTTCATGTGCTGATAATTTTGTAAGGCTGCTGCTCCTGATGGCACTTTAAAGAGATAATTCAACTGTTTTACTGTAAAGGGTTCTGTGGACGGTAGTTGGGTCATTCCAGCGAATGGGTGCCTTTTACGTTCCCCTGAAATTGTATCTATAAATGCGTATAAAAATTAACTGTGAAATATATTTTCTTATGAAAGAAAATGTCCTGCATGTGATCCAATTGCAAATTTAAGATACATGATAAAGATGATTATTAAAAACTACCAAGAATACTGAAGAAACAGCTTTTGTCACCTGTCCTCACTCTGTAACTTTACACTTTACAATAAAACATAATAAATAAAATCCTAAAGAACTGTTATTTTTTGTTGATTTTTTTGTATGACTGCTAATCCCATTTATGGTTTACATATATTTTTTTCAAAATAAATCTATTATATTTTTGTTAAAATACACATTTTAGTTGTGTCCCTTGGTTTTCACTCAGCATAACATATTAGCCTATTTGAAAAATTTGGAACAATCCAGAAGTGACATGGTCAACATGAAGTTTCATCAGTTTGACCTTCTAAAAGTCATGGGAAGACTAAAAGTAAATTATTCCATTTATTTTTATGTAAATTTGATCATGGTTCAACTATAGCTGAATATCTTTGTTTTCATTTGTTAATTAAATTATTATTTTTTTAGGTAAATCACTAGAATGCACTCAGTTGCTTCATGCTATTAGCAAGGATGCCATGTGGCTATATTTCATGTATTTGCTAACTTTATGCTAAAAACTCTGTCCTGTTACTTTCAGTCCTTTACCTGTTGTTCAGTCCTGTTACGTCATGGTGTTTTGGAAAAAACCCCCAAAAAAACCTATTTTCTCCAATTTTGTTTGGTCTGTCTTTTACCTAATTGTTTAATACATTACATGATCATAAATGTAATAAACTTTTGCGTTTGGTCTCTGTAAATTCATAAATGTGCCTTTGGAAATTTTAGAAAAACACTATCTCTATTTATATGAAGGGACTTTTTGGTAAAAAAAACAAAACAAAACAAAACTATTTAAGCATCTATTAAACCATTTCATCAAAAATAAAGACCTAATTAAGAATAAACAATGAAATTAGTTGTTATGCTTTAAAATATGCTTTTTGGATGTCACATGAGTTTTGGTAACAGTACTGAAAAAAATGCAACCATCTTTGACTTTAAAGCTTAATAGAAAATGAAATAAAATCACCTGAGATGGACCAATATCCATTTTGAATAGTTAGATATTTATATTACTAGATCCAGTTTAAAAAAACATGTAAAAAATATATTCAATTTTGGAGAGTTACTACAAGCAAATGGCACCCATTCGGTGGAATGAACCAGTTAATAAATACTATCTTGAAGTTAAATGGTAATCATCAAATTGACGCACAGCAATAATTAAACACCTTGAGAGTGTTGAAAAATATTTAAAATCTGACATATTGGGGGCAATTCCAATTCTCCAGCACAGTTTGGCTGGGTAAAAGTTTGTATTTATGAACACGACTTTTAAACTTCATCCATCCAACACCTTTACCCGCTTCTTCCTTTTCAGGTCACATGTCCAGCCATCATTGTTCAAGAGGCGGGGGACACCCTGGACAGGTCTCCAGTCCATCACAGGGACACATAGAGACAAATGAGACAAACAACCATTCACTCTCTCACTCACACCTAGAGACATTTTAGAGTTACCAATCAGCCTAACATGCATGTTTTAGGTCTGTGGGAGGAAACCGGAGCACCCGGAGAAAACCCACGCATGCACAGAGAGAACATACAAACTCCACCCAGAAAGGTCCCCAGACCAGGATTTGATCAGGCGATCAGCTCACTGAGAGGCGACAGCTCTACCAAATGAGCCACCTTTTGCGTCTGTGTCTCGTTTGAACTTCAGTATATACAAAACCAGACAGATTCCTTTGATCAAGCTATCACTTTCTATTAAAATGCTGATTAATATTTGAAGACATATACAATTTAATGAAGCATTTGAAAGTATTTAAAAAGTAGTCTGAAATATTCTGATTGAACTAAACAAAATTTTAATTAAAGGCCTAGAAACCATCGAGGGAATGTATATCGACTACCACCTTCGATGTGCACGTTTGAGACTAAAATCAATAAAGTTATCACTTTATAGTCAAATCTTGAAAATTCCATTATGCACCGTCTCATGTAATAAAGTGGGACCATGCACAATCTGTTCTGAGCACAAGTTTGGGATGACTGTCAGCGACGACCACTCTAAACTTTAACCCAACATCTGTAAAAATGACTGAGTTATAGAATTTTGTTCTATGTCATATAGGCTTCGCCCTTTAAGGCTGTCGCTGATGGTTTATCCCGTTATGCGCAGCATAAGCACTGAAAAAAAAATTAGTCCACGCCCACCTGCTGTGTGGGCCCCACCCGGTCCGTATAAATTACGTTAAGAGCGGGAAATCGGCTCCCATTTTTTCTTCAGCGAGCTAATATAGCACTGTCAGAAGAACTAAGAAGATAAATTGTGTAAATGACCAACCTTTGCGGAAGATGCTTGGCCCGGCAGTCGACCTCCGGTCGTCCGGTGAGTTCTCCTCCCCGAGGAGAAGATGACAGCAGTCTTATTCCAAGGTAAGCGTCGGGGAACATTTCCCAGTGACAGGTCATTACACGCTGGACAACGCCATCTTGTGTTTTTCCTCTTATCGCCGACCCTCGGGGCGAACCGGATGGTTCCTCCGGGGCAAGGTGTGCTCAGCTGCAGCCCCCGCTGCTCATTCCCTCCCGGGGAGCGTAGTGTAGGTGGAGGGGGGCTGAGTGAATGCTCACCCCATCTCACCTCGTTTCGCATCGGCGATCACACCGCTCCCGGCCGACAGCGCCCTCAGGGGTTGCCCGGCGGAACCCGGGAGGAGGCTGACATGAAGGGACCCCTTTTTTTCTACGTCCCTCGCCTTTTCCCGCCAGTTCGGATGATCGGCGGAAAGGTTATTTTTCACTGACGTGTTTTTCCAGGCAGCCGCAGTTAGCAACAACTTGCGCTGCTAGCATATAGCATGTCCAAGGGACTGAAGGCCGCAGACCTGCCTTGGAGACAAAGAACTCCCTCTGTAAGGCAACTGACGCTATTCCTCGGTTCCCTCCCCTGGAGCCAAGCCTCGCGGAAGCTTCCGGAGCGAAGCTGTCCAGGTCGGAGCAGTGTCCCGTCCCTCCGGAGGAACCAGACGGCGACCAAGCTCTCCAATCGAGCCCACCGACGTGTTTTCAGGCAACCGCAGTTAGCAACAACATGCGCTGCTAGCATTTAGCATGTCGAAAAGGCTGAGACCTCAGACCTGCCGGAGGAGACAAAGAGCTCCCTGTGTAGATCGGCAGACGCCATCCTCAA